TTGGTTTCACAAGCTGCGCTTCAGTTTATCCAAGGTTAGAATCTTAACCTACTTGGTTCTAAAGTTGTTTATACAGACGATATTTTTTATATTTTACAAACAATGTTTCTATTTGTTTTATATGTTTATTTGGTTTTCAATCTTCAATGTGTGCAGGCTTAAGTTTGCCCAGTGATTATACCGTACCTGAGGAAGTCAAAGCTGCGGGTTTTCAAATTTGTGCTGATGAGGTGGGATCGATTGTTGATGGCCGTGATTTGAAAAAGCTGAAAAGTCATGGTGGTGTGGAGACTATCACAGACAAGCTTGGAACATCCAGTATCAAAGGAATTTTTACTTCTGAGAAATTGCTTAATAAGAGAAAAGAAATATATGGGGTTAATAAATTCATTGAAAAACCGTCCCGTGGATTTCTTGTTTATGTGTGGGAAGCCCTTCAGGACACTACCCTCATGATACTTGCATTTTGTGCCTTTGTATCTCTGCTTGTTGGGATAATGACAGAAGGTTGGCCAAAGGGTGCCCACGATGGACTTGGAATTGTTGCTAGCATTTTGCTTGTTGTGTTTGTCACTGCAACTAGTGATTATAAACAATCCCTACAGTTCAAGGATTTGGAGAAGGAGAAGAAAAAAATTACAGTTCAGGTTACTAGAGATGGATTCAGACAGAAGTTGTCCATTTACGATCTACTTCCTGGCGACATTGTTCATCTTTCTATTGGAGATCTGGTCCCAGCTGATGGACTTTTTGTTTCAGGGTTTTCTGTGCTGATAAATGAATCCAGTTTAACAGGAGAGAGTGAACCAGTTAATGTCAACACTACGAATCCTTTTCTCCTCTCTGGAACTAAAGTTCAGGATGGATCATGCAAGATGCTTGTAACTACTGTTGGAATGAGAACCCAGTGGGGTAAACTGATGGCTACTCTTAGTGAAGGAGGAGATGATGAAACCCCCTTGCAGGTCAAACTAAATGGTGTGGCAACCATCATTGGGAAAATAGGCCTGTTTTTTGCTGTTGTGACATTTTCTGTATTGGTTCAAGGATTGTTCAGCCGCAAGCTTCAACAAGGATCACACTTGATCTGGTCTGGAGATGAAGCATTGGAAATCTTGGAATATTTTGCTATAGCTGTTACAATTGTTGTTGTTGCTGTTCCAGAGGGTTTGCCTTTGGCTGTGACATTGAGTCTTGCTTTTGCCATGAAGAAGATGATGAACGATAAGGCACTAGTCAGGCATCTGGCTGCTTGTGAGACAATGGGATCAGCCACAACTATCTGCAGTGACAAGACTGGGACACTAACGACGAACCACATGACTGTTGTGAAAGCTTGCATTTGTGGTAAAATCAGAGATGTGGGAACGTCTGAGGAAGCTACTAACTTTGCTTCTATAGTTCCTGAATCTGGTTTAAGGCTTATACTGCAATCTATTTTTAACAACACTGGAGGAGAAGTTGTTAAAAACAAAGATGGCAAGACTGAGTTACTTGGAACACCCACTGAGACTGCTATTTTGGAATTTGGGATGTTGCTTGGCGGTGATTGCAAGGCAGAACGGGAAGCAACAAAAGTTGTTAAAGTTGAGCCCTTCAATTCTCATAAAAAGCGAATGGGTGTTGTTCTAGAGCTTCCTGAAGGTGGCTTCCGGGTGCACACTAAAGGTGCTTCTGAGATAATATTAGCTGCATGCAACAAATTCATGGGTCCTGATGGCGAGGTTGTTCCCCTCGATAAAGCATCCATTGATCTTTTGAATGGCATCATTGAACGTTTTGCTAGTGAAGCCCTTAGAACTCTCTGCCTTGCATACATGGAGGTCGGCAATGAGTTCTCAGCTGAAAGTCCTATTCCCACCTCAGGGTACACATGTATAGGCATTGTGGGTATCAAAGATCCAGTTCGTCCTGGTGTCAAGGAGTCTGTTGCAATTTGTAGGTCTGCTGGTATTACAGTCAGAATGGTTACTGGAGACAACATAAATACTGCAAAAGCAATTGCAAGAGAATGTGGAATTTTGACCGAAGGAGGTTTGGCAATTGAAGGCCCAGTGTTTCGTGAGATGGGTGAGGAGGAATTACAAAAAATTATTCCAAACCTTCAGGTACAGTTTCTTATTTTTCTGAAACGGCACTTGTGCAGAAACATGTTATCAAATTTTCACAATCCCGCCAGTGAGCTGTCTCAGAAACATTTAATTAAATGAATTTTACTTAACAAATTCCCTAGACTAGTGGACTGTTAAACCTGTTGAAATTCCTTATTCCCCTGTTACCATTATTGCACAGCTAATTATGGTAGATATGCAACTTCATGTCTTTAGTGGGAAGTAGAAATACAAACAGTGACATAGCACTAACCATATGAACGATAAATACATTATTTCTTCACTTACGGGTGACGTGCACCTTTAACCATAAATAATAGAACAATTTTCTTGTCTAATTTTGCTGTTCCCTTCCACTTCAAGTGACTTTTCTAATGATGCAATTTGATGTTATGATCAGGTAATGGCTCGTTCTTCACCAATGGATAAACATACCCTTGTAAGACACTTAAGGACCACTTTTCAAGAAGTTGTGGCCGTGACTGGTGATGGTACAAACGATGCTCCAGCACTTCATGAAGCTGATATAGGACTTGCAATGGGCATTGCTGGTACTGAGGTATTTACGAAGATGTTGCTTCTTTTTGTGTCTTAGTAAAAGCCTCCTCTCTCTCTCAAATCGTAAAGTCGCACATTTCCACAGTTGATTTTCCTGTCTTATAAATATAACATGCTAAAAGATGTAACTTTTTTACTTCTTAGGTAGTTGTTTCTAGAGAAAAGTTCAATCACTATTTTCTCTCTCGTGTCATGCCTGTAAATCTATTTTCTTGCGTTACAAACATTCAATTCCGGTAGATTTTGATTGGAAACTATAGTTGTACAATCAGAGTTGCATGATCTTATTACTAAATTGAGATATCAGAAGAATGCACAAGGGTTGCAAAGTGGTGGTGGTGGTGTTAAGACTAAATTTTATGAGGTTACATTTGGATAATACAAGAAATAAGTGAATCCTTTGCCCAAGGACGTCTCATTTACTCTCTTCTTCTTGTGCATGGATACCCTGATCCTTTATTTTTAGATGAGCTTGATCGTTTTTGATATTCAGGTAATTAAGAATGTGCTAATTATATCAGGTGGCAAAAGAAAGTGCTGACGTGATAATTCTGGATGATAACTTTTCTACAATTGTGACTGTGGCCAAATGGGGACGTTCAGTGTATTTGAACATCCAGAAATTTGTTCAGTTCCAGTTAACGGTTAATGTGGTTGCACTTATTGTCAACTTCTCTTCTGCCTGTTTAACTGGTAAGCAGACTGCGATGCATTCTCTCTTGTTTAAGTTTCTTATTTTTTTTTCTCATGAAAATATTTTATTGGCTAACTTTTTGTTTTGGGGTTGATAACGCTCATAGGAAATACTCCCCTTACTGCTGTTCAGCTTCTCTGGGTCAACATGATCATGGACACTCTAGGAGCCCTTGCATTAGCCACCGAGCCACCTACTGACGATTTAATGAAGAGAGCACCGGTTGGCAGGAAAGGAAACTTCATCACTAATGTGATGTGGAGAAATATCCTAGGGCAGTCTCTGTATCAGTTTGTGATAATATGGTTTCTACAGACCAGAGGAAAAGAAGCTTTTCAGCTTGTTGGCCCAGACTCGGATTTGATCTTGAACACCCTTATCTTCAACTCATTTGTGTTTTGTCAGGTAATTATGAATCATCGGGGGATGTGATTTAATCGTTTTGCGGTTGTTAATGAATGGAGTATTGGAAAAAGTAAAATTCAAATTCAGGACATGACTACTCAATACTCATCCACATACATTCATTTGAATGCTACTGTCTTCTTTCAGGTTTTCAATGAGATCACTCGAGGGAAATGGAGAAGGTTAACGTCTTCAAAGGCATAATGCAGAACTATGTTTTCGTGACTGTACTCTCTGCCACTGTTATCTTTCAAATCATAATCGTCGAGTTCTTGGGTACATTTGCGAACACACATCCTCTAAGTTGGAAGCAATGGTTTGCCAGCGTTGCACTTGGGTTCCTCGGCATGCCGGTTTCAGCAGTTCTGAAATTCATCCCTGTGTAACAAGACTGAAATCAACCGGAACTTGAACAGGTACTTCTCCACTTGGCTACCGATGGATGTTTTGTTATGGCATCATTTCAAAGATCATTCTTTTGACTCCATAAACTCTGAAAAGCTCACAAATTCAAGGCTAAATGATAAACTCTCCCGCTTACAAAGTGATAGTTTTTGTGAACATGAATGCGTAGGACGTATTCCACCTGTTCGAGCGTCTAACCAGTTGTACTTTTACAAGGATTTAGTTTGTGCTAACAGGTTGAATGTTTTGCTTAATCGTGCTGTTCATTCCTAAATGCTGATCCTTCTCTTGTAATTGTTTGCGTTATTGTCGATAATTAAACCACCGATTGATGCATGCTGCATAAGAGACTGCTTGTACTATAGTTGGCCATGGCAATTTCCGGGCATATACCGGAAATTTTGCCGTAAAATTTACCATGGCATGCGACTCCAGCTCTTTCGTCGAGAAAACAAATTACATGATATGCCATGCAATCTTCTCGTATCTTCGCTCTCATCCAAACATCAGTCAAAGTTATCAATGGAGGTGTCACGTGATGAGAGAGATACTAACACAAGAATTTACTCCAATTACAATCTTTTGAGCCAATTACAGTTTTACCAAAGCTGTGAACAAGTAAGAACTATACACTCTCAACCAATTACGGTTTTACCTAATTTGGTCACATGTGATATTTACTATTACCAAAGTAATTCCACTCTGCTATCGAAATTTCTTTAGCAGAACAGAATCACAGTTCTCTGATGTAAATGCAACTCAAAAGAGTTCTCTACATCATCCATCCATGGGGATCGAATCAAACGGAATCAGCGGTCAATCGGTTTTTACAGACTTCTCTGCTGAACTGAAGAACTAACTGCAACATTTACCGGGATCGATCGGTCCTTCAGACTCTTTAGCTCCTTCTCCTGCATCCGATTGTAGCATAAAAACACAGCTTCCTGCAACACAAAGGCCAATGAGTCCAAGATTAATCAAAATCCAGTCTTTAATCTACTTAATTAATCAACTAATGCGATAAAGAAAACTAACAATGTCCAGAAAATTCAAGTCAGGAACCGATTTTATCATGACTTCCACTGCTTCCCTTGTTAACTTCTGATCCACTGCCATTAAGGTGGCGGCGGCTGCTACGGCAGACGGTCGATGATGCATTAAGTTAATCTCTGTAAAACATATGACGCATTAAGTTAATCTCTGTAAAACATAGTGTTAATTAACAAATTATAATTAACCATCTAAATCAACCAACAACAAATAAAAAAAATATTAATTAAGTGATTGATCAAACATGAAACATTGTTCTTGAAAATTAACAGAAATACCTGCTATTCCAGAAAGGAGGTGTTTCTCAATTCGAGATTTCACATCTGATGCAGGTCCCTGGCATAACTTGGAGATCAAGTAACCGAGAAACGCAAAGGGTGTGATCAAACTCAGCCTCCAATCTAAGTGATCGAGAAACGCCAACTCCGTCGTCCCAACGAAATGACATGGAAAGGTGTAGTCTCCGACGGCGTATTGTGACAGTGGTGGAAGTTTCACGTCCAACTCCTCCATCTTTGCCGCCAACGACAGGCACACCACCGAAAGCAACCTCTTTGCAGATTTTGGCTCTTCTTTCTGCAGAAAAAGAAGAAGAAAAAACCATAAAAATATAATCTTTAAAACCAGAACTGTTAATCAAATCAAATTGTAAAGAACAAAATCCTACAGGGTCGGAACTCAGCGAATAGAATCGATCGAAATATGCAATAGCCAGATATGCTGTCAAGGGCTGAAACCCAAGTTCTGCACTTCTCTGAATTTCAAGAACACCCGATTAAATTCCCAATTGAAACTTCACAAATGTTGGTTCAAATGATCGATATTTCGAAAACAAGAAATGGGGTTTTGGAGTTCGGAGACTAACCTTGAGAACCCATTTGATGGATTCAGATCGAGCTTCCAAAACCCAGCTGGGAATGATCACATTTTCGTCTTTCTTGAACCCGAATTCCATCTCTCTGTTGATTAAGTTCATCAGTTGCTCTTGTTCCAGTGCACTATCGGAGCAGTAGTTCGTGCTGATCAATGCGTTTTCATCTGCCATCTCTCCGTCCAAAAATGTTAGACTTTCGTGGCAACAAGCGTCCGGCGAGAAGGGATCGTAGTTATCACCACCGTCGACCTCCGTTGTTTCTTTCTTGGCAAGAAAGGTGCAGAAAATGTAGTAGAAAAAAGGAATCAAATAGTATGAACTCAGTGAGCCAACAAAGACTGAATACGACGGAATATATTTATAGTGAAAGTGGATGCAGAGATGTGACACCGTTTTGACGGTTGCAGGTTTAGCAGAGTAGTCTGTTCACTCATCTGTTCCTGCTTTGTGAGTACCGCAAGCTTGAACGCTAGGTGTTTGGGCATATGTTCGTGTGCGATTGATCCTAGCATCTCTTGTCCCTTCGGGGACATCCAGTAAAAAAGATCCTAGCATTTCTCATACTTATATGCTGCATCGTTTTTGCGAGAGCATATTTTGCTTCTACATCTCAAATTAACCGTCAAATTCTCTGGCTTCAAGTTTTCAACATTCACTGAAAATGCCCATATAATAAGGGCAACTCCAGTCGTTCTAGGAGGACAAGGGCAAGGCAAGGTGATGTCAATCCAATGAAATTGCTCTTATGATAGTAATTGACTTGGTGCAGACTGTGGTTTGAGAGAGAAAGAACAAGGGGAAGTGCGATTACTATTCACAAATATTTCTTTTTAATGTTTTATGCCTTGTAAGTGTGTAACTAGCAAATTTGTTCTTAGAAAATAAAACTTTATATTTAACCCGAACTTTAATTTTAAAAACAAAGTAAAACATAGTATTACAACAAGCATAATTAAAAATAAAAGGCAAATGAAGAAGATGATTGAACTTTATAAAGTTGTTAAGTGTGTTTAATTTTAACTGTGCTGTTAAAAAGCATTTGTACTTTTTAAGAATTTTTTGGTAGTTTTTAGCTCTTTTTATCTTCAAATTAATTTAGGCTGTTGATTTACTAAATTTTGTTTGAATCAGATGCACTAGATTGTGCCACGTTTGACAACCTTAAATTTTTTATTCTTTTTTAACGTTGGAAATCCAATGGTTTGCAAGGATAAGGCAACAATCTCCAAGGGACTAGGTTGTGCACGTGGGTGGGCCCACTACTGAATTAGGCAACTGCGATGGCACAAGCCAAGACAATTCTTGCAAGGGCAACTGAAAGGGTACAAGCCCTTGGCCTAATTGCCCTCCATTTATTAAACCGGTGGACCACCTTTTTTTGGGGCTAGGACAATTCAACCCAATTACCCTATTAATTAGACCATGAGTGGAAATGCGGTGTTTCTGAATTTCGGTCTACATGGTATTTACACAACTCTTTTTCTCTGTGCAAACTTGAAATGTGTGTATTAATTTCTACTTGGTGTATCTGAATTTCCATGTACAAACTGGTACTTAACCAATTCTGTTTACTCTGTTTCTCTGTGCTAGAATTAAGTTCTGTGTTAAACTAAAAAATTCTTAGTTGCAGACGTCTGGACCATGTGACCATTCAACCGCACAAACAAAGCATCCATCCACTGGGCTCGAATCAAGCAGCATCAGCGATCAATCGATTTTTACAGACTTGGTTCTTTAGGTTTCTCCGTCTTTAGCTCCTGCAGTATATTGTAGCATGAAAACACAGCTTCCTGCGACACAAAAGGCCAATAAGTCCAGTACTTAATTTATATGAAACACCAATTAAGTAATGAGAAAACGGCTAAATAAACTCACAATTTCCAAAAGTTTCAATTCTGGTATGGTGTTTATCTTTAATTCCAATGCTTCTATTGTTAATTTCTGATCCAGTGCCATCAAGGTGGCGGCGGCTGCTACGGCTGACGGTCGTTGATGCATCAAATTAATCTCTACATTAACATTAAAACATGATTAACTAACCATCTAAATCAACTCACAATTAATTAAGTGATCAAATAGGTATAGAAGTACCTGTGATTATAGAAAGGAGGAGGTCTACAATCTTTAATTTTACATCAGATGGAGATTCTTGGCACAACTTGGAGACGAAGTAATCGATAAACGAGAAGGGTGTGATCATACTCATCTTCCATTCCAGTGCTCCCAACACCATAAGCTCCATTTTCTGAATCAGTTTACGTTCGAAAAAATGAGGATTTTCGACTTCATATTGCGACAGTGATGGAATGTTCTGCTCCTTCATCTTTGCAGCCAGAGATAGACACGCCACTGAAAGCAATCTAACCATAGCAACCTGCAAAAACATGAACTGATTCTCGCTACACAATCACCATAAACACCGAATGGAATACAGTTCTACTAAACACATTATCTTACAGGGATTAGTCTCAGGGAAATGAACCGATCAAAGTATGTCATGCACAAATATGCTGTTCTAGGATGAAATCCAAGACCCGTTCTTCTCTGAAATCCCAAGAAACACCAATAACAGGAACACAATCAATTTCGACTCAAAACGACTTTATTTTATTTTATTTTTATTTTTATCGAAACTTGGAAAACAAGAAACTGGGTATTTGAGATTAGAGACTAACCTGGAGAACCCAAGTGATGGATTCCAATCGAGCGTCCAAAACCCAGGCGGGAATCACCAAATCTTCGTCTTTCTCAAACCCAAATTCGATCTCTCTGTGGATTAATTTCTGCAACTGCTCTTCTTCCAATGCAAACGCCATCGTAATAGTTGTTGAGATTGAGGAATGCCTTTGGCTTCTACAAAATCTCCGTTGAAGAGAAATCTGTGACTTTCTCAGCAAGAAAGGTCCGGCGATAAAGGATCACTATTTTGGTTTCTTTTTCTTTCTATCTGTTTATTGCATTCCGCGCAGAAAATCTAGTAGGAACAAAGTAAACAGAGTCGGATAATATAATCCCGGACTGAATAATCCGAGATTTAGAGAGAGAAAGAATGGTTGACCAGCAAGACTGAAAAGGACCGGAGACGAAATAGGGTTACAGTATTTAGCAAGAATGTGACACCGGTTTAACGGTTACGGATTCAGCAGAATCGGGAAACGGGAATTGTTAGGGATGAATATGAGATTATCTGTTTGTTTCAGAGCCCCTAGGAACGTGGCTAGATTGTATGGTTAACAAAAACGCTTATGATTAGAAGCAACTTTTTATGTGATCCGGCTTATTTGAGAAGTGTTTTTAAATTATTGAAAATATTTTTAGAGATTTTATAGAATCAATTCTTAGTAAAAGTGAAATTAATCTGGAAAAACACTTGACTGCACTAGTGTTTTTTGAAGAAATCACTTTCAAGTGCTTTTGGAACCTAAAAACGTTTTCTAAAGCACTCTCAATAATTTAAAAGCACATTCCAAATGAAATTTAAAGAAGGAAAATAATTTTCACACAACCTAACCTCTTACACAACCTATTTAATCATGGCCATTGATTTTGTTTTATTTATTCAATCTGATGGCTAAAAATAAAAAAGGGTGTGTGAGACAATTTTTTTTTTTCAAGCACTAGGTAGTTAAGCGGTACTCCACATGTCACAATATAAGTAGAGAAAATGAGATTTTTTTTTTTTTTTTTTTTTTTTGTGTGTCCTTCCATTTATTTTATATCACGTGGTGTACCCGATTGAATTCCAGGCACTTGAAAAAAATTTCTCATATAAGAGGCTAAAAAGTAAAAAGTGTGGGAATCACTTTCTTTGAAAAAATGTATTTGCACTTTTATAGAATCAACAACCTGTCATTGCGCATGTGAATGAACAGTCATGATTTTACAAGATGAACACTTCGTTCAAGTAGGTTTAAGAAAACGCTTACGATAAAAAGCAATATCTATGTGATGGTATTTAGAATAAAATATGACACCTTTGAATGAATATATCATTGATTTTACAAGATAAACTATAGCTACAATAAGAATGCTATTGTAATAGAATTTAAGTTATTAATTGCAAATTCTTATGTATTTGAATTTTTATAAATTGGAGTGAGTATTAGTTTTGGTAAAATGTCATTCCCGTCACGCCTTAGTGTCATATACCTATTTTGTAGAAGTCCTCGTATCTGACACTCATAATATTATAGTCATTATATTAATCATTTAGGATCTCCTAATATGTTTTGAACTCTTGAGATATCTTGTATCTTAAAATTTAGCGATTATACATTGCAGAATATAGAATTCTCCGGAGCACAACTTATTCTTGTAGTCAAGGAGGAGGGCACATGAATATGGGTTTTGTGTTCCCTATGGTTTGACTGTCCCAGATTCCATTCCAATTCAAACTTGCCACTTATAAAACAAAAACCCTGAATCCACCGGGCAGCCTGCTCACATGGCTAGCCAACTTCAAGCTTCCCATATTTTGTCCACCACCACCACCCATTTTTCTGCCAACACACCCTGTACTCTCAAAGGAGGAGGGCTATTGTAACCTTACAATTAAGGGTTAGCTGTAGGAAGGGTCTGGGCTTGTCATGATCAAGTCCCCTCCAACACATCTGGGCCTTGAAGTTTATAGTTTAGTGACCTTTCTTTCTTTTTCTTTTAGAGCAACTCCACCCCTATCCACTTTGCGCCAGCACCCAGCCCATTTATCCACTTAATTGAACAGTAACAGACTCAATGAACAGTAATAGGCCAAAGCATCTCCACCCCAAAAAAAAATGTGCTGGCACCTAGTCTAAAAATGCGCTGGCACAAACGATCTCCACTCCTACAAAATGCGCTGGCACCCAGTCCATTTAAAATATTAAATAATTTTTTTATAAAATAATAAAAAAAAATAGTTTTAATTTCGGATAGGATTTTTAACCAATCTCGTCACGCCACGTGTCATTATCCGAACGTACTATTTTTTGAATCGATTTCCGCTAAGATTTTCAACCAATCCCGACAACCCACGTGTCACTTCCTGTTTACAATAATTTAGGCAAGATTTCGATAAGATTTTTAACCAATCTCGTCACGCCATGTGTCATTATCCGAACGTACTATTTTTTGAATAGATTTCCGCTAAGATTTTCAACCAATCACGTAGTGCCACGTGGCATTGTCCTGAACCTCATCTTTTTTTTTTTGTCCATATAAACCCTACATCCCTACATCCATCCTCACACTAAACTCAATCCTTTTTTTTAGCTCAGAATTCTTCTTTATCATTTTCAAATCTTGAGTTCTTACAATGTCTTCTTCAAGGAGAGCGTATAAACAGTTGCAAGAGCAGCAGAAAAGGTTGTTGGCACAACAGGAAGAATTGGTCAATCTTGACCAAGGTGGAGGTGGAGATGAGGCCTTTGCAATGGAGGAGGATGACGATGATCACCATAGAAGGCGGAGGGCCTCACATTCCCGCCGTATCATGCAAGCTATGGGTCAGATAGCCAAACCCGGACGTGCGGCAAACATCGATAGAAGAAGGGAAAGACGAGGTAAAGATCTCTTGGAAGATTATTTTATTCCCAACAGCGTTTACCCTGATCATGTTTTTAGACGTCGTTTTAGAATGCAACGAAGTTTGTTCGCTAAAATCATGAGTGATGTTTGCAACCATGATCCATATTTTGTGTAAAAAGAGGATGCTTTTCATGTTCTAGGTCTTCTTCCTAAGCAAAAAAT